ACAAAGTGGCTACAAGAGAACTGCGCCGCTCGGTTTTACTACGGTTGCATTCAAATCGTCGTGGGCATGATCGTGCTCTCCTTAGGGGGTTGGATTGCCAGCCGCGTCCACGGATTTCAGACATCCTTCGTGTTTTTTGACAGGGGCCACATTCCATATTACAAGATTATTTATGGTGGATCCGTTGGCCAGGCCGCTTTCGGATCTTTAGTGGTCATCGTGTCTTTTGTGCGTTTTGTCGTACGTGACTTACACGGTCACTAGCAAAAAACGCGCACCGAGCCTACAACACAGTCAAAGTGGCGGTTCCAACTGCCTACTAGAGTAGGGCTGTGAAGAACGAGACAGCAGGTATTACGAGTAAGAGCAATCGCAGAACTTTATGATGATTTTCGAAGAATGACGGAGGTGGAGTCCATATACATTAAAGGTGCGACGGATAGGGTCATGGAAAGTAATGGACTTACTGCAGAGTTGCCGGGATGATTTAGATATTGAACTTCCTGATTCGAATCAAAGCATGTTCATCGCTTGATCTGACTAGAGGGTCGATATTGGCTAATATTGGAGCAGTATTCTGAGTGGCTTGATGTAAAAGACAGGTGATGGTTGACGATCTTCTGTGTAAATATCCATCAACCTTGGTGTTCGTAAAGACTTCAAAAACTGACCCTGGGACATGTCAGTAGTCCAGGAATCACGTAGCCAGAGGAAATCGTACGTAACTTATAGAACTATCCATCATGACTTTTAGGAATTTAGTCACGTTCCTATTAACAGCTCTATCAGTGATAGGAACTCACATCCTGGCCCTAGGAGTTATCTTGCTCCCGGATACTTTAGTGCGGTTTCTAAGGGGCATACAAGCGGCTTCTAGGAGCCACGTAGGCCCCGGGAAGCCCGAGGTAGCTTCTGGGGTCTTGTACTCCACCTCGGGGAACCAAAGTCATGTTCCTGTTGACAGTTCCATCAACTCCTGGAGCCTCGAGTCTGGTTACTCAAACCATAGGCTAGGCATCTGGAATAATAAGGTGACTCAGATTTGTGCGCAGGTCTGGTAAAGGTATCTTGTGAGGGCTTTCCGCCACCTCAGAAAGCAGAATAATGAGTCCAGGATCTAAAAGTAGTGCCCCAGGAGCACGGCAGCTCCCAGATCTAGCCATTGTATTCCCAGAGCCAGTTTGTAACCAGTCAGGATCGTAGAGTGGATTCCCAGGGGTAGACCTCAAATTCCTAGAAACAGGAACTGGTGCCAGGAGCTAAAGAGAAGTTCCCAGGGAATAAACAGCTTCTATAATATCCCTTGGCATTTCCAGGATCAGTGTTGTAATTCCCAGAGTCGAATTAACAATGATTGACGATGAAATAGATGAGCTGGTTCTAATACGTCGCGAGACAGTATGGATAGAATTGTCGAGGCTCTCCTGCCGACGCGCGAGTGGTGTTTTCTGCCAACAACGTCCGTCTTTGCGCTCCACAAGGCTCAGCTGAACTCGCTGTCGGCATTTACTTTAGCCGCCGTCGTTAGGTATGTGTGCTTTTATCTTCCGGCGCTCGGTTTTCGCGCTAAAAAATATTTGAAATGAAGCAGACTTCGAATAGCATTTTAAGGTACATTGACATCACTTGCAAATATGAAATGATCGCGTAGTGTTCTGTGGGGTTTGACGTTCAGAATTTAATTTATTTGGTTGCTAACCTTGCTCCAAAACTCCATATCATCAGGACATGGAGTCACGTGTGATTGACAGCCGCTTCGCTAATTTTCCGTTTCCGTCACGCGTTTGCTGTAAATTGTAATCACCTACGCTGATTGGAATTCAGTCGTGCCGACCGGCGAAGCGATGCAGAGGTAGAAGAATCTCGCGGTAGGTGAGCCCCTGCTAGTCTGGCTGAGCGACGGGGCCCACTCTGCTCGATTGATACCCCTAGGGATTCCACTGACCCCCGACGCGGTTGACTCTGACTCGGGTCGTTTCGTGCTGGACTCCTGACGATGACAGGCTCTCTATCGGTTGATGATTCGCTTGCCGAGTGGACAGAGTTTGTTTCGGTATCTGCCAAGGGGACTCGGAGTGGACGAATCAATGCGTCTAGAGTTCCTTCGTTTCGGCTGCATTCATCAGCATCCCGGCATTACAGAATTGAGATCATCCATACTTACCACGCGCAGCATGACACGCCAAATCCTGTACGTCGGTTTTTCAACCACTCTTCCGCGCAGGACAGATGGGAAAGCGCTCGGCACTGGTCGCAGCGCAGGATCACGCACTCGTGGGCTTGTTCCTCATCTTCGGCCAAACAAAACACACAGTGGATGTTTTCGAGCTCTTCACTCAAGCTGAGACTCCGGAGCGTCAAGTCTTGGACACCCGCCCAGATATTAGTGACCGACGTCAGGATAGCTGGTCGAGCCGGCGAAACGTGCCATGGAACACTGTTGGTCCGCAGCATTTCGGCAGTGACAAAGGGATTGATTGATTGCACCGGCTCGGAGCTGGTTGAGAGGGGCACCGGCGGGTCTTGTCTGAGCCCGTGAGTTGGTGAACGGTCAGTGTTGTCTGATGCAGGGCGTCGCCTGGAGGCTGGCGATGTCTGACGCTGGCTCGGATGCACAATGGATGGAGATGCAACTCTAGAGTCATGTGGCACTCGCGCCTGGTTGCGGACAGCTGCTTCATACCACTGCTGGCCAACCCCATCGGCCTGTCGTTGCCTATGCCACCTTGCACAGAGGAATACTTTGGCAATAGCACAGAGCTTCGATTGCAAATTTGACAGGTCAAACGGCTCTCTGGCGACAGTGTTCAGCTTTTGATGGCCTGTCTTGGTGTCTTCAAGTTTGATCGAGTTTTTGCATGGAGCGCCTTTTTTCGTCATCCCGCAACAGAAGCCAGGACCGCCATTGGGGCTGACTTCTATCTC